CCTCCCCCCCCCCCCCCCGGCTGCTGATTGGGACCTCCATGGCCCTACCGCTTGCTGGTTGCTCTTGATTAGCTGGGAGGCAAAAACCATGGGTTTTTGCCTCCGACCACTGATTGGCAGAGGGGCCTTGGTGGCCCTGCCATTTGCTGTTGATCAGCTAGGAGGCAAAAACTGTGGCGTGTATAAAACCGCGGTTTTTTTTCTCCCAGCCAGTCGGCAGCAAGCTGCAGGGGTCCCTCAGTCAATCAGCAGCAAGAGTAGGTGCAAAGTGAAAAGAGCAAGATTAAAGGAGCCATTGCACAGTGCAATTTTTTCACAGATTCATAGATGTAGGGTCGGAAGGGACCTTATAGATCTTCTAGTCCAGCCCCCTGCCCTGGGCAGGAGATAAAACTGGGCTCAAATGACCCCAGCTAGGTAAATGTCAAGCCTCCTCTTAAAGACCCCAAGGTAGGAGCCAGCACCACTTCCCTTGGAAGTTGGTTCCAGATCCTAGGTGCCCTGACTGTGAAATTTAGTTGGTTCCAGGTCCTAGCTGCCCTGACACTGAAATTTTCAGTGTGATTTAGTTAGATCCCTAGTGATACTGTGTTGGTTTTTAGAAGCAAGGTAGCTAGTATCCCACCTCCTTTTATGTTTTTGAAAATGTTCTCTAAGCATAGCTGAATTGCACTGTTTTGGGGTTACCATGTTCATTTTCTGCAATGTAAAAAGTAGAGGTGCACCGATACATCGGTCCATATCATATTGGCACTGATATAAGGAAAATTGCAGTATTGGCAATTGGCATTTTGACTGATGTGGCCAATAATATTGCTGATACATGCTGTGTGCATGTGCGCAGCTGCAGCATGCACACAGCCAGGAGTGGAGCCTGGCAGCTTGGAGAGCTGTGTCCTGCTGGTAAGTCTGGGGGGAAAGGGGTGGGGGGGGGGAGAAGGGGCGTCTGGGCGGTAGATCGAGGCGCTCACAGTGAGGGAGGGAATGGGACTGGTGCAGGGACAGGTGCTGCACAGGCGCGGTGGGGTGCAGGACAGCTGTGAGTGGGTAATCTGGGAATCACAGGGATGGGATAGCTCCCACCACTGCGTGCATGCCTGGGAGCGTCATTGGAGGGGGCGGGGGGCATGTGCCCCATGGATCTTTGTGCAGGGTGAGGCTGGGCTACCCACTCAGGGCAGCGAGCGTTGGCAGTGCTGACAGGGGCTGCCGGGGGGGGGCGCTACAGCATGGTTATGTGGTGCCTGTCCCTACCCCAGCCCTAGCCCTACTCCCTCCTTCATTGTCAGGGCCTCGATCTGCCCCCCCCCTCCCCACCCCCCCCACTTACCAGCAGAACTCAGCTCTCCAAGCTGCCAGTCTGCACTCCTGGCTGTGTGCATGCCCTCTCAATTTGCCCCATGCCCTTCCCCCCTCACAGGCTTAGCAGCCCAATGCAGCTCCTCAAGCTGCTGGGCTGAATATCGGCAATCGGACCAGTATCAGCTGATATGGCTTGTTAATAATCAGCCATTGGTATCAGCCAAAAAAATCCTTACTGGTGCGTCCCTAACAGAAAGGTGTTATAGATCTAGTTTTTACCTCTTATATTGACTGACAGCATTACTGAAAAGATGCTGGTGCCACTGATATTTATTTATTTATTTATTTATTTATTTAATTTTAAGTTACTGTGAAGGTTTATTATTAAATCTCCATTAAAGAAGGAAAAGTGAATTTAAAACCCTACTTTACATGCTAGGAAAAATTCAGTTATAATCTTTAGTCCAGACAGATGCTTTATTGGACAGGTAGAGCAGGCTATATTTAACTTATCTATATTTTAGATGTTTTGTTTAAACAAGGAACTTATAGTCATGGTTCTGTTTACAGAATTGTCTGATCCAATATGAATTCTGTATCACTTCTCTCATGTTCTTTATTTATTTTTTAACTGTTAGTTTGCCCTTCTTCCATTCATCTTTTTTTCCCATTTGAAAATTGGTACTGAATAATTGACAATTGAGACTGAATTTTTGCTTAATGTTCACTAATCCTTTTAGTCAGACCCTTCTCGTAAACTTACCTAGTAAACTAGAGATGACAGTTTCCCCTCTTGATTGTAAATATTTGGGCCTATAGTAAGGTGCTAGTCTTTACATGCAGATGTACCCCACTGCATTTGTTCTGGGAGTATAGCCCTCTGAGGCCCAGGATATTAGATGCCATAGGCCAGAGGAACTTGCAGAGAGATTACTCTGAGAAATATGACTTAGTACGCAAGCATTATAGGGCTGTGTGAAACAGCTGTGTTTCATTTTGGATTCGGCCATTTCGGAGGACAGTGATTCATTTTGGTGTTTCAGATCACTGTCTTGTTTCATTTCAGCTGAATCTGTTTCTAACGGGCTTCAAGGGAAGCTTTGTACAGCCCTACCTACCCAGGCTGGGGGCTGCAGGGTCCCAGCGGGGAGCAGGACAGGGCCATGGGTGGCTCGTCCAGGGGAGGAGAGGGGGCTGCTGCCCCTCAGTGCAGGTGAGGAGACGCCCGCGTGGATCTCTGATGCTTGTCATGCTGGGGTCTCAGGACAGGGAAGCAGTGCAGAGCGGTGAGCAAGCCTTCTGGTCCCTGCCGCACAGCTTGGCTCCCTAGGGAGCAGCGATCAGCACTGTGGGTCTCCTCGATGCTGCTGCCCGCCCTGCGCTGCCCTGGTGACGTGGGGCTGTATGAGGTGGGCAGCGGCGGCAAGGATACCCTGGCGCAGATCTCTGCTCCCTGTGGAGGCCAGTTGTGCGGCAGGGACACCCCAGCCCCCGGTTCTATTTCCCCAGCTCTCTGATCATTCCCCCAGCTCTTCCCGTGGGGTACGGGCCCCCAGATCTGTATGCCAGGTTTTAGCAGGCTGCTGCTGGAGGCTGGGGCCAGCGGCAGCACTGCAGTCTTCCCAGCACTCGGGGAAATGATCAGAGAGCTGGGGGAAGCCATCAGAGAGCTGTGGAATTGAACTGGGAGCTAGATGTCAATATCAGAGCAGTCCTCCCTCCCCACTTTTCCCTTCCCTCTTAGTTTTTGTTCCCTTCAAGCCCAGCTCTGAAACTGAAATTCTCCAAAACATTTCTGAAACATTTCAGAGCCTTCCATTTCGATTAGGATTCAGTGTTTTAGGCGCCGAAATGGCCTGAAACACCTCTGAAACAAAACAGCTGCTGAAATTTTACACAGCCCTAGCAAGCAACATAGAAAATAAAAGGCAAGGTCAGATGATGGGAAAAACTGGTGTGTTAGGTCTCTTCAGAGATTTGGAGAAGACCTGCTGCCTGGAGAAGAACAGTAGCTAAAAGTCAAAGGAAGACCAGTAAAAATATTTGCATAAAAGGAGTTGGAGCAGGAGCAAGATTAGTGTAAGGCTGTGCTAAGCAGATGCAGTTAACTGCTGATCCAAGGAAGAGGTTGAAGACTTGGGAAAGGGCCAGAAGTGTTTGGAGACATACAAGGATGAAAGATTATGTCCAAAAGCAAATGTTTTTGGTTTTGAAGACATTTTTTACTTGATTAATGAAGAACCAAGAGTGAAACACTTGTGTAAAATTCAGCTTTGCATTTGGAAATACAAGTTAGGCACTGAAGAGTAAAGTAGAAGTGAGGCACAATAGTGTGTCTAAACTGGGAGGGACAGACACACTCAACACGCTAATACACTTAACTAAGTGTCTTACATAGAGACATAACTCCAGGGCTTATGTTTTGGGGAGGACTGCAAGGACCCCTCAAAGGTGCAAAGTGGCAACTAAAGGTTTAAAAAATGTAGCAAGTCAGCAATGAAGACTATACTTGTCAAGGCCAGAGGAGATGATGATATAATAACCAAGATGTTGAAAGACTGAGCCAAGAGTTTTTGATGGTGTAGAAGCAGAGGAAAACTGTATTGTTGAGCTGTTCTGCTGGAAGAATCTTCCAAATATGCAATATGGCTTGGAGGATCTAGGGGACCAAGTTGAAGATTGTGTTATGGGCTTACCTAACAGGGACAATAGTAGTAATGTCCAAAGCAACTGAAAAAGCACTTGTGTGAGTGAGCGAAAGGAGGGGAGGGGGAGAAGTTAACATTTTCCAGGCTTATTTTCTGTGTTTTTTATGGCTTTGGCCCCCTGCATCATCAAATTCACTCTCCTTTTGCAAGCCAGGGCTGTTTAAAAGGTTTGTAAGATCATCCACTCCCAGCACTCTCACAGACAAGCCACGAAACACACTATAAAAAAAAAACATGTAAAACTCTACCATGTGTCAAGGAATTGGGGAAGTAAAAGGAATCTAGTACATCACATTAAAAACTGGATTTAGACTGAAGAAGTTCAGCCTTAGGCTGAAGAGAAGTTTGATAAGTTTCAAATATGTAAAGGGTTATTATAAAGTGGATGGTGATTAAACTTTTCTGTGGCTGCAAGGTACAGGATAAGGAGCAATAGTATTAAATTGCAACAAGGGAAATTTAGATAGGATGTTAGAAATACCTTTCTTAGCGGGAGAGTGGTTCAATACTGGAAGAGATTACCTACAGCAGGGATGTTATATGCACTTTGTGCCCCAGGCCAGAACTGGACTGTAGGGCTTGGCTTCTCCCAGGCCAGACCTAGCCTGGGGCATGCAGCAACTCCCGCTCTGATTTGGGACACATGGCAGTGGTGGTGGAAGCTCCGGCTCCATCATGGGGCCTATAGCGGCAGCTCCAGCCCCCACCATGTGCCCCAGGGCTGGAGCTAATGTTGCAGCTTGCTCTATGCTAGAGCTGGAGCTGCCACCTTATGCCCTTTGCCAGAGGTGGACCTGGTGTTGCCACTATGTGCCCTGTTCTGCATCAGCATCTCCAGTACAAGGCACATGCCAGCAGCAGCAGCAGGGCTGACAGCTGAGGAAGTAGGGTTGTGACAGTGATGAAGAGGCCAGAGAGTGACCTTGGGTGTCAAACCTTGCTCACCTTTCTGCTGCCGGTTGCCGTGCCCACCAGGGCTCTGATTCTGCAGCATGCCATTCCCTCTGGCCACACCTCCCATCTTCAGTTGCCTACTATTAGCATTGAGGGCCAGATAGAGCAACTTTACTGGCTGGATCTACTTTGATGTCCTTGACCTAGAGAGGTTATTCAGTTTCCATCCTTGGAAGTTTTTAAAAGCAACTTAGGCAAACACTTTTTTTGGATGATTTAGACAGGGGTGATTCTGCCTTGAACAGGGTTGGCTTGAGGTCGCTTCTAACCCTAGATTCCTGTGATTCAATTGTAATGGATCCTTGTCCTTGTAAAGATGTTGACAGTTAATTAACACCTGCATAATCAGGGACAACTTCAGTTGACTTTATTTTTGGCTAGATTCTGTAAAGAGAATGTAGATTATACTCGATTATAAATAATTTTTATAGATATAGATATATGTAATGTTATTGGCAGAAGAGCACTTCCACAGATTACTAAGAAAACATGCATAAAGGGTACCCAACAATCAATAATAAAATTAAGGCCACTTTCTGATTTAGGAGCTTTTGAAAACTGTATCAGTAATCTTGTATGCAGTTGATTTTTTTTTTTATTTTTTTTTTTTAAAGAGGACAAATATTACCGACACCAAAGGAAATTAAGAAAAAGTACTTGAGAACTTGGTTTCTGTGATTTGTTATTTCTTCTGTAGGCTGGATGCATCACACCGTGGATCAGCTAGGAGACAAAGCAACCAAGGAAAGTTATGCTATTCAGTATCTCCAGAAGTCTCTAGAGGCAGATCCTAATTCTGGCCAATCCTGGTATTTCCTGGGAAGGTGAGAACTTGTGGTATAAAGCTGTTTTGTTCTTTCTTTTTCTTAATAAAGCCTGTTCTGAGAGACTGGTTGAGCTGAATACGTTCAGATAAGTGTTCTCATTCACAAAGAAGTATCATGAAAGTTTCAATTGAAGAATACTTTTTCTTCAAGTTACAGCACTAACTTTGAAAAAATAAGGAAAAATATTGTAGCTAGTGAAGTCTAGCTTTGTTGTTTGTTCTAAAATTATCAATATAATTAAGTATAAGTGCTTTTGAGAAATAGAAATAATTACTGTTCATAATACATAATGTAAACATTAAAATAGGTAAGCAGAAAATATTTCATGTATATCAGTGAAAGTGTGCGAGACTCTTTGGACTTTAAGCTATTGTCATCCAAGATGCATGTTTGCTGTAGCCTGTTTCTACCCTGCTTGCTTTTCCTCTGCGTACCACATCAAACTGCATCATCCCTCTTTACTTGCAGTTGTCTGCAAAAATGCTTGCATTTAGCTTCATTATTTTATTATTCTTTTCCTCTTTTTCATGCACAAGCTCTTATACTAAAATATGTAATGCTTTATTTTTCTCTATCTAAATACATATATTATTTGTAAACTGTATGCCTTGATAGTTTGTCCATATGTTTAATATTAACTCTGTTTAGCAAAAGTAATATTGCCTTGTAAGTTAAATAGTATTCATTTTATGCCTTTCTATTGTTTTTTTTTAATAAAAGCTAGTTTTTAGCAGATTAATTCAGCTTGCAATAACCCTTTATTCAGTTATTAGCTTAATAGTAATAAGGTTTATATTCTCTAGGCTGCAACTTCAGGGTGACTTGAGTGTGTACTTGAGAACAGATCTCTTCTATCCAATCAAGAAGAGTATTACATTGATAATACTTGCCCCTGTTCTTTACTAGTATAAACTTTCCTTTCTTATCTATTTAGTATAAAAATATGTAATTCTTGTCCAAACAAAGAATGGAGTATAGGCAGTATAGACAGTGGACCCATATTGTATGCCAACTTAAGCACATTATTTTTTCATTTGAAAAAAAAATCACTGCTTTTATTTTACATTTGATTTTGACAAGACAAGCATTTCTCCTTGTAGCCAAATTGTTGCCTTCAGTTCTTTTAACTCTTGTTTTTGTTTAGCATGTCATGCAACTTTTGAAATTCTTAGATGTACTTACTGCTGTGATTAAATTATGGAACTATCCAGAATAGTAAAATCAGAATTTTCACTAAGTTTGTTGCTATTTATACACAGTAAAACTATACTTTTTATTGTTTATTGTTGAACATTTTTATCAAGGAAGGACTTATAAATATTATCACTATATAGTTGTCCAAAGAAGACAAAAGAGGTAGTGTAGAGTTTTAAAAATATCACTGTTATAATTACAGACTATGTTTTATAGTATTTTAATTTTCATAACATGGTTACATTATTCTTTTTTTATGTTGCAGTGTAGGCTGCCTATTCCCAAATACTCAATTAGTTTTCTTTATTGCTATCTGTATTGTAATGTTCATTTTAACTAGTTAGTTACCACAAGTGAAACAAGGGTTCATCTTCAGAATTGTATTAATTCTGAATGTTGGCATTTTTCATATAGAGGGCATTTAAAACGTTAAACTGTGGGCAGCTGGTGCTGAAAAATGAACTAATTACGTTATACAAATAATTAGTCATTTTGATTGAGAAGTTCATGACAATTGGTTTCTGTCTAACTTACAAATAGGCAAAAAAATTTTAAGCATGTCTGAGCATGTATTTGCATGATTTATACTAGCATTATTGCAAGCCTTCTTCATTAATCATTTTGTTAAATATTACAGAAGTTCTTTCTCTTTTCTCCCAGGTGCTATTCAAGTATTGGGAAAGTTCAGGATGCCTTTATATCTTATAGGCAATCTATTGATAAATCAGAAGCAAGTGCAGATACATGGTGTTCTATAGGGTAAGAATTAATTAGGGAAAAGCAGTATTGTCATTGAATTTTAATGCATTTTTATGGGGGTTTATCTTTTTTAGCACTTTTGTGGTCTCGTTTGATCATAGAGCAGTGGTCACCAGCTGGTCAGTTGCGATCGACTGGTCGATCATGGAGCCTCTTGCAGTTGATCTGAGGCTGGGGGCACTGAGTGCCTGCATGCATGCACGCGCCCCCCACCCCAGCCCAGCAGGTTAGTCTGTGAGGGAGGGATGGGGCAGGGGCCAGATCAATGTCCCCATGTTGAGGGACAGTGTATGGAAGCAGATGTAAGATGAGTGAGGCCTGGGCCGGGGGGAGGTGAGAGGATTGAACCTCAGTGGCATGTCCAGGGGTGCAGGGGTCTCCTGCCACTGTACACACCCTGGGGGGGGGGGGGCGCCCCCCCCCCCCCCCCCCATCTGTGTGTGGCAGAGGTGGCTGCCATTGCGGGCTGGGCTTTGTGCCCTGAGCCCAGCGCAGCTGGCCCGGAAGCTGCCCGACACCACATGCACCCACTGCTGGGTGAGCAAGGGGTGAGGCTTAGCTCAGCATCGGGATGCGTGGCATTGAGCTACTCCCAGACCAGTTGCAGTGGGCCTCAGGGTGCAGAGCACAGCCCACAACAGCAGCTGCCTCTGCTGCAAACAGATGGTGGGCACATGCTGCACCCCCCCCCTCGCAGGACAGCATGAACGGCTGCAGGAGTGGTGAGGGAGGGAGCAGGACAGGGACAGGCCATGCACAGCTGGGGTGGGACGTGGGATGGACCTGTGAATGGCTCATCTGCAGGGGGCTGAGTGGGGGGGCATGCAGCCTGGGAGGTCATGGGGGACTGCCCCCAGATCTGTACACAGGGTGGAGTGTGACCCCCCTCCTCCCCCCCTGGCACAACCTTCCCCTCCCCCCACCCCTTTCCCGCCCTCCCAGAGGGAATGGGGGCTGTGTGCCTGGGATCTGCACAGAGGGAAGGGTGGGCTGCCACTGCAGGATGGTGGTAGGAGTCTGCGCTGGGCTCTTCCCAGGTGGGGTTGGACCGTGCTGCACTTGGTGCAGGTGGCAGCGGTGCTAGGAGGGAGGTTGGGGGGGCTACAACGAATTTTTGAGTGGCTGCAGCC